GATACCCTGCTACGGTACAAACATGCATCAGAGGCTTGGTGGAAACTGATGCAGTTCTATCCTGGTGCTGCTCCCTTGCTTCCAATTACTGTTCGGCGACGTATCCGAGTCCAAAATGGTCAGCTTGCATTGCCTGCTCCTGAGCCGCATAACACCTCTTCTGGTACTGTTCCTCAGCCTGTTGCAGGTGCTCCTGATCTCCTTGCGGCACTGAATCAACTACAAGCCAATTTTTCCACTGCTGTAGCTGAAATGCAGCAGTGCTTCAAAGCAGAAGTCTCCGAGCTAAGGAAGGACATGGATCAACATATTACTCGTGCTGTAGCGCAGGGAATCACCGAGTATATGTCTCGCCAAGGGTTTGCTGGTCCTGAACATTCTGTCTCAGGGCCTCCTGGAGCTTCTTCTGGTCCAGTCGTGGAACCTGAGCCAATGCAGGTGAAGCCTTGGAGCCGCCTTAACATTGATGACTTGTATGCTTCACCAACTCCAGCTCACAGGCCCATGACCCCTTTTACCCCAGCCTCGCCAACAATGTCACCCTCTGCTATTACCCCTGAGGAGATGAGCCCTGATTCAGATGATATAGCTTGGTTGGGGTCACTTCCTAGTCCCTTATACCCTAGGAACCCAATAGACATGAATCCTGAAAGTCGGGCTCTCAAGGGACTCCGTGAGCTGCTTGGGGCAAATGCAAACTGGCAGTCAACAGTCCAAAGGGATATTGTTATTACTGCAATGAACAGACAGAAAAGTTTTATCGGTATTCTCCCTACTGGTGGGGGAAAGACTCTGGCTTGGCTTATCCCTGTGGTGCAAGAGCCTCTCTTCAAGAGCGTGGTGATTATTCCCAACAGGTCATTGCTGGATAACATGGTACGAAGGACTCAGGAATTGGGAATTACCTGCCGTCAATGGCGTTCTGGGGATCCAATCCAATGTGACTGTCAAGTGATTTATGTTGCACTGGAGACTGCAGTGTCTGAGAAATTTAAAAAGTAAGCCTGCTTCTGTTGTATGTGGTGTAACACAACTAAGTATTGTTAGCTATTACCGGCAAATGGAGAGCTCCATCACTCGGATTGTACTGGATGAAGCCCATCAACTCATAACAGACTCTAACTTCCGTAGCAACTTTCTGAGGCTGAGTGAACTTGCAGCATATCCTGTGCAGAAGATCCACCTCAGTGCAACAATCCCTGCATATATGGAGAAGCGCTACTTGGAAATTGCAGCTCTGCCCAACTCTACACCCATTCTCCGTGCTCCAACGTATCGTGCAAACTTGTCATACAGTCTCTTCGCAGTCAACCCCCGTGTCCGTAGCCAGGCTCGGCTCATTGTGGATGTTGCTGCGTACATGCAAGCCAACTACTGGGATGACAAGTGCAGGGGTATCATTTTCTGCCCCTCTGTGGAACGTGCCAAAGAACTGGGACGCCACTTCAACAACTGTATTTCTCACAGCGATAAGACATCCTTGTCTGACATGCAACGGTTCTTGAATGAAGAAGCATGGTTCAAGGGCACTATGCCTTGGATCGTAGCAACAACAACCTTAATCCATGGGATAGATTGTCCCAGGGTGAAGGTAGTTATGTATGATAGGGTTAGGGAGGCACTCGACGACGAGCGCAGCGAGTCGGAGAGTGACTAGAGTTAGCGAAACTAGCAGACAACGGGCTAGTTCTCTGGGGAACTAAGCCTCTACCCGTTTCGCATTTTATGCTCTTCAGGTCTGCGTAGTATTTTGAAATTTGACGGGCCGCTAAGTCAGTGTGCACGACTAAGCGGAAGTACTTCCCGTAGCTCCGAGCCGATGCCGTCGGCTGCCGAGCAGCCGAGGAACAAAGGCCCTACCTTTCAGGGACATTTCAAATTACGGAGAAACTTTACCTCTGTAATTCTTCGAAAGGGATTGGTTGTTCTAAATAAAACCTTGTACGCGTCAGCGATACTGTACGAACGGCATACCGGCACGGTTAAGTTCCGGGTTCATGTGATATCGGCTTGCCATGCCGACTCCGAGGTTTCCCCTTGCCGGGAACCACATGATGATGCCGCCAAAGTATTCTTTGATTGATGATGTCACCCGCCCCGCGAACCACGGAGTCAGCAATAGCCGATCAGAAAGGTTACCAACCTCCCAATTAAGGAAGGCCACGGCCCGCACACCACGCGAGCTTGTGTTCGGTTTTATCCGACCGGCCACGGCAGTCTCCGCAGCCACGTGGGGTGGACTCCCACGAGTCACGTGACCATTGCAACGAAACCAGGAAGGAGTTGGGTTAGGGTTAGGGTTAGGGTTAGGGTTAGGTTAGGGTTAGGTTAGGGTTAGGGTTAGGGTTAGGGTTAGGGTTAGGGTTAGGGTTAGGGTTAGGGTTAGGGTTAGGGTTAGGGTTAGGG